CTAATGTTAGACAAGGCCACAGGTTAGACTTAAAATCATTTCGAAATTCACTGTATAAACTATCACTTCAGCCTCACATCCATGTTATGTTTTAAATTAATGTCTTACAAATGACACCATGTCTGCCAGAGGAAAGCAGACACCATTGATAAACATGACTACTTACTATTCCCCGTGCCCTCCTAAGGATTACTTGGGCACCATCATTTTTTTTTAATTGCTTGGTCAGTATAAAGTTCTAAGTTTAAATGAATAATATGACTCAGTAGCTTTAGATCATTTTTGTGCACCTAAAATTGCAAAGCAAATGTGGGTTTCGTTTGGATATGCCAATATGGGGAAATATTTTGAATCAGATTCTGTTTAGAAATTCTGACCCCACTTGGTCAGTAAAATCTTGACTCCTAATTTTTTTGCATTTGAATTTAGTGTGAACATACCTTACCTAAATGAACATGATGGCATGTAATGGCTGCAAAAGAACTGTGATCGTCTGTCAGGTCAATGTGTAAATTAAATAAGATTTATTCAGTACTTCCTCTGCAGCCATTAGATTCTTTATAGTTAAACCAACTGCCCTGCGTATACACCTGGTGATTACATGTCTAATGTTTGTACAGAAATCTGACTGAATAAACCTGGAGCTTATTTCTAAACTTGCTACTTACAGGATTGAAAAGCAAATTCACATTAAACATTTTACAATATGAAGTATATATGAAACCACACCTACACCTTATTGCTACTAATGAAGGTCTATGCCATTTTCAAAGTAGCAATATTTAAAAAAGGGTCTGGCAACTCCCTTAACCTTCTCTGACCAAATACCAAGGCCCATTACTTTGTTTCTACCACCTGCAAGGTCAAACATCTATTTCCCTCTCCTTGGGATCCCCCAACTTAATAGCCTTAACTTGAAATCCACATGATTGTTAGGAAAAGCAGCTTATTTGTCATTGGCTAGAAAATGAAAAGAAAATCACAAATAAGTGCTAAGAAGAATAAAAGCCAAGCTTGGCTAATCACTGTGAAAAAGCCTATCTAGTTGGGCTGTAATCTAATAAAAAGAATATTGGTTAACTGAGATGACCCTGTCCCTATAGAGAGAATTGCCTGTCTAGGGCAGCTGCTGTCAGCTTAGGTGATGCTCAGCATACCAGAAAGGTCAGCATTTTAAAATGTAAATATTCTGTGCCCAAAATGACTCATGCCTTTCTGGAAACCTAGATTTTTCTTTCTTTATCTAAAATCTTAGGCTCTTTGATAGCCAAATCCTAGTATTCATTGGGACATCTTCCCAAGCTACGATGGAGCAACCTTACCATCATTCCAACCCCCAAGCAAGTAAGGAAAATAAAAGACACCCTCTTAAATTCCTCTTTTCCAATCCTCTACACATAACCAACTACGTCTGATATAAGCCCTTGTTTCTCATTTTTGCTACCAATCCCTATCATAGGGCACATTAGTTACAGGCATGTTAGCCCGACTCATCTTCTGTGAGCTCTTCATCCCAAGTATAAAAGAACAAGGTATTCATAACCCAATTACATGCAGGCTCAGAAATTTAATAAAAACATAAGTGGGTGTCTTGGCTCTTCCTCAACCAGGAACACAGTGGAAAAGATACTAAAAGGAACATTTTAGAAGTGCACCTTTAAATCTGATGTTATGGTTCTCACCTACCAATTACCACAAACTACCATGGTCTATGGTATTTAATTCCTTCCAGATTATTTATTCCAGCTGTGATTTGAGACATGATATTCAACTGGTGGTATAACAACTTCTGTGGCTTTGCAGCTCTTAAGCTTCTCGGCTATTTTCTCTGCCTGACATTGACGTGCCTCTGTTATTCATTGGTTCTGTCCTCATGGGCCACCAAGGCTAGTAAAACATACAGATTTAAAAATAATTCTGGTGTCAGGGTAATTATCCATCTATTCATTTGGAACTGAAAGCTCCAAAAATGTAATTTTCAATTGCTTTGCAATATTTACAGCTGAGGATGACATGTGGTTAGATGAGCTTACCAACTTGTAAGTCCACTTGTTTGGTACTCATGACAACAAAATAGAGTGCTCCTATATCCTTCACTCTGAAAATAATGCAAGAAGGAAAAATCTTTCTTCCTTAAGGGTTTGGAGGAAAATATACTTAAGTTTTTCTGCTTTGTCTTAACATTCTTCCTGTCTAAACCAAATCTTAGCAACAAAGAATATCTTCTCATTCAGGCACATAAGCATTGTGAAGGAGTCTCAAGGATCCTCCATAAACATTCACAGTGGACCTGTTTATCCCCCATCATGACTTGTAATCTCTATCATTAGAAACAGAAGACTTGACTGTTGGGACTTATTTGCTCAAACTCAAGCAGAAACAATAGTCATGAAGAATCTGCACAGAGCATCAGAAGTTCGACACAAAATTAGAAATCAAACATCTAGGACATGTTCTCTCCAAAATGCACCCTGTATACATGTCCTACAAACATCTGAATCTGAACGATCTATTTTAAAACTCTACTTTTAAAAAAATGCAAACAATCACTAGATTATAATACACGTTATAACCTTCTATTGATTGAAGGAAAAACAGACCTACAATTAAAAAAAAGAACCAAAACAACTCCCCCAGCAAACAAAAAAGAACCCCACAGACATTTAGAGACTAAAGTTCATATTTAAATAGCATCCAGCTTGCTACTCAAGTACCCACATTCAAAGTTACGACAAGGATCTAGCATTCTGCTCCAAGAAGTTCTTTTATCTTTCAAATGACACAAAATACTTGATGTAAATAATAGATGTCCTAGATTTGGTCAGGTTTGTGCTATATATTTGATGCTTTAGAACGCGTAATGTATTTGTATTTTTCTTCTATCCACTTTTTTCTTCTATCCACTTTTTTTGTAGCATGAACACCAAATGCTTCTTAGGAATCACGTTTCTCAAAGACTAATTCCTCAACACAGCTAGAGACATCTAGAAACTGTCAAACCTTGAATTCATATTCTTTCATTCACATCTTACCTTGACTTCTAGTTTAAAAATACATTTTACAGGGGGAGGAGGGGGCAGAGAAAAACCCTCTCATGCAATATGGAAAAAAATGCAAAATAAATAAAAACAAAGACAATTTTACAGGTCTTACTTCAGCTAAACCTTTCAGCGACTTCAATGAGAAGATAATCTTTCTGTGATTATGACCAAACCCTCTCGTTGCTTAGCAACACATAATTAAGGAATATGTTTTCAGATCCGCTTTGCAAGCTGGCCATTATCAGATGAAATTACTGGAGCAACAAATGTCATCCTCATGCAAATGAGTTGGTTGTAGAGAAAGAATGTTTGACTTGTGAAGAGGGCTCAGAACCTCAGAAACACTGTTGGTTTCCTCTTGTTGCACACTAATATTTTTCAAAGAAAAAGACTCGCACAGATTTTAAAGGAATATAATTCAGTTTAAATATGAGGAAAAATGAAAGGACTATTTTAAATTTACACTATGGGGGAAAATGTGTGCACCCCAGGGTGCTTTGTAACAATATTAATAGGTACCTTCTCTCCAATATTACCAATGAAATCAGATGTACTGAAAATAATATATTTGTGTTTTTGGTATTATGTCAGTTTATATTTGGGTTGGAAAGTGTTTATTCAAAAATCCTTACTAGATATCTAACTTTTTTGTCTGATTCATGCCAACACATGCAATGTTGCTGAATATATTATATATATTTATAAATTAAATGATATAATATATGCATAGTCATAAAACAGGAGGCATCTGCTTTCTAAATCTGTGATTACGGTAAAAGGATGGGGGGACGGGACGTCTGCATTTTGACAACTTTATCATTTTCACTTGCAAAATAGTCCTTTATTTAGATTCCTGTGGAATGTCATCATCAATTTGGCACAGTTTCTATGCCTATAAATGGTATACTTTTATTAAAGCTTTTGTGTGCATGCTCGCACAGTACATTGTTCAAGATTTGTTTGTGTGGTGGCTCAGCTTTACTGTGCAGAGAAAATTCCCTGCTCCTATAGTCACTATCAGGAAGATCATAAGAAACATTTTTGTTTTTAAATTTATTAGGGAAATTAAGAAACCAATGAATTCTTCCTTACTTCAAGGCATATTTCTTGTGCTAATTCCTGTTCGATTATGAATAATATCACCAATTTTTATTCCCCTGAGTTGCAGCTCTGTTTGAACCATTTAGACCTACCTAAGAAGGAGACTGCAACATTTCTGGAAATAAAAGGGAGAAGGAACAGGAGATCCCACTCATTTCTGTTTCATTTCAAATTCTGTATTGTATTTCTACTGTAGCTTTAGCATTAATCATAGATCTATTTTCTTAATAGTTATATTGTTACACTTATAAACTTTCCTAATAGGAAGTTAAGAGCTTTAGTTTAGGTACCTGATAAAACAGCAAATTAACAGTAATAAAAAAGGCTACAGTAACTGCCAAAGCTAAGTCAATTTTAGAGTAACACTATTAGCTATCTGATAAATTTAGTCATAACAATGCTAACAATTTCCTTTGAGAAACATATTTATACCTGATAACAATTGTAAGAAGTAAATCTACAACTAAACCTGCAGTCTAATTGCTCCAAAGTGTGCTATCTAATCTTCTGTTCTGTACAACAACAGGAACAGCAAGAGTCATTGCAGAACCATTTTCTGATCTAACAGTCACTTTAACTGAAGTTAGCTAACCAAATAAAATACTCTGGAGTTTAACTGCACAGTGAAAGCCAGAACCTTAAACTATGAATAACAGCTTATGCCTTAAGGTAAACTCACTTGCCCTTTTTCCTGTGAATATGGAAACATGTATTATTTTAGCCTTCGGACCAACCTAAGGCTAAAATCAGTATATATTAATACATATTAAGATTGATTTATTTTTTTATAGTGGGCATACATAAACACAAGGATAAACTGTCCTAAACTACACCACAATAACCCTTATAGAAAATTACTTGATTCGGGTGATGCCATGGTGGAGACAATGACTGGTGGTCCTGTGCGCCTGCTGAGTTTCTGATAAGGAGAATGCTGTGTCTGATAATTTGCGCCAGGAGGTGCCAGGGTGGAATCCATTTGGGCTCCTTGCTTTCGGAGAAGCTGCGGGCTGCTGTGTGGGCTAGGCATTGGGGACATTGCTGTGTTTCGGTCTCTCTTCATCAGTTCCATGGGCACTGTGTAAGTGGTCGGATATGCTGTTTTGGGACTTGCATGTGGGTTAGTCTGTACTGTAGTCATTGGTATCCCAGCTGAAGTGGAATAGACAGACCCTGGACGAGGCTGCACATTGCATGGGAAAGGAACGTTGTATCCAGAATTAGGTAGAAAATGGGGACTTTGATGAGTCACCCCAGGTCCAGCATAGGTTGCAGTTTCCAGAAGGTGCTGTGTTGGAGCACTAGATGGCCGACGATTTATTTCTCCTACCCGTGGTGACACTGACTGCAGAGATGGCGGCGGCAGCTGCTGCATGGTTGTGCCATCTACACTGGGACCATATTCATTCTGCAGTTCACTTCGATGACTAAAACTGTTCGATCGGGTCCTGGGACGGAGCGCGCTGTTCTTCCTATCATTCCTCTGTAGCTGCATTTCTGTCCTGTAGTTATGGGCAATGCGGGAAAGTACCCTTGCTTGTCCGAGATTTGGAGCTACTGATTTTATATCATTCTCTTCCATCATTGCTATCAGGTTTGGAGAATCAAACCCTTGCTGCACCAAAGCATTGAACGTGCTTTCAGACACTCCTTCATAGCGCAGAAGTGCAAGGAACTCAGGATCATAGTTTCTTTTAATGTCCTGTCCTGAGAAACCCGTAGGCATCTGGGAATGGGAAGGAGTCATGGCTGTTTCATAGCTATCAAAAGGAACTTTTGCAGTAACATTTTCCCGGACTGATCCATAAGCACGATTTACAGAAGCAGCAGATGGAAGTGTACTCCCATCAGGAACAGAAGCAGAGCTTGAATCCACTACCAAACATGTTGGAGTAATTTGCCTAGCAGCCCCAGACTCTGTGGGTCTCTCTATTGTGTCATTATAAACCTGCCTGTTGGAAAAAGTTGGTGGTTCTGTTCCATATCTAGGGGTGGGAGGCTCAACACCATACCTTGCAGGAGACGTCTCTCTGTTTCGCATCCTTTGCCCTTCTGGGATCATTTTATGCATAGGATCCCTATACATACGGCTGGCTTCATGTGGGACAGGTGCCCGTCCTTGTACTTGATCCCAAGTCAATCTGCTACTTGGTATCCCATAATTCGGTAATGATCTATTAATCATGTGGTCTCTATAGTAGCGGGGATCTTTAGGCGATCTGGCAGCTAAGGATGGGTCACTGTAGTAATCCTGAGATGGCAAGGAGCTTTGTCCAGACATCGCAGTCTGTCTGTCGTAGTAAGTAAAGTCAGGAACAGAGCCTTTCCTTACAGGACCCTGGTTAAAAATGGGATCCTGGTATGGGTAAGGCTCTTGCTTCAGTTCAGCACCTCCTTGCAAGATGATATCATGTGGTCTATGGGTTGGTTGCTCATACCAACCTCCTTCGCCACCGTAAGTCAGAGAATTTCTCCTCCCTGTAGGTCTCTGATATTCAAATGCATTTTCACTCTCCCAGTTGCCTTCAAACCAGCCTGCAGCATCCCAGCTCTGAGAACGACCAATATTGGTGTGCTTGCTTGGAATCGGCATTGGAATAAAACAATCTACTTCACTTCGATAAAGAGGAGGAGCAGCCCTCCTCCTCCTTTTTTAAAATCTTCTGTTACACACATCAAAAACAGATCAAGCTGTATCTGAGCCCTTCTGGGACTTCAGAAACAACCAACTGGTGGTTTTATATTTCAAAGTATTGCCTGAATTATTAATTCTTCGTAACTTTAGTAGACAAAACACACAGCACCCACTGTAACTCAGTCGCGCTCCAAAACTGTAGAATGAAAGGGCTTTTCTGTATGATTCAGTCACAGAAAAGGGTTGCCGCACTTAATCCTGATGGTTTATCCCTTCCTCCCTGGGACAGTTTGCTCACATGGACAACTGGTCTAGCAGTGGGTGAGGATTAGGAGCTAAATAAAACCTCTAAAGCCTTTGTCCCATGTGACATCACTTTAGCTTGATGAAACCTACTGCACCAATCCAGCCAACAACCTCAGTATGATTTCTCCTCTGAAAATATTTTTTTCTTATTTTGTCTTTTTTTTCTTTTCATTTTTATACATTTCTTCCCATCTGTTACTTTACACCTTTTCCCACGGCAGTTCAGTATCCCATCCCAGAACAGCAACTAGCACAGGGAAAACACTATATATAAAAAAATAAAAAACCGAAAGCGTCAGTGTCAGCTCAATCTTAATCCATCCTGATGAAATGCTAATCCACTGCACACAGCTAAGGACAAATTAAATGGGAGCAGGCAGGCAGCCCTAAAAAAAGGCCAATGTAAGATATTCAAGAATACAAGATAGCGATTAGAAATGAGTTCGGTATCTATATAACATTTTACAAATATTGTAATTTGCTTTAGAAATTACATTTTTTGTTGAAGTTTCAAATTAGCTGAACTAACTGGGCTCCAAAAAGATTATTTACATTACTATCATTATACTCAAATTCTTTCATCTTCCCAGGAAAGAAAATTGCGGAGGTGTAATCTGGAATTTATAATTCTAAAACCCTAGCAGAGGTCATGGAAAAAGGAAGGGAGGATCAAAGGATCTAAACCCTGGTATTACAAAGCAAAAACGAAACAAAAAAAAAGCAGTAGACTTTTGTATATTATCCCCACATTTTCTATAAAAATATATGTTTATGAAACGGAAAAACACTGAGAGATATCAGACCAAACTCAATTTCTATCTTGTGGTATTTCAATATTCATATGGATTAAGCTTTTTATATTGAAAGTAGAAAGGGGATTTAGACTGAATCACAGCAAAGAAAATTGTTTTTAGTGACACAAAAAATTCCATATCTAGTTACCTGTTTTGGGAGATACAGTGAAATAATTCCCTAAAACATGGATCGATCGTCATATGCCGAAAATACTCAGCACATGTCCTTGTTTTAGCAAGAAAAGATCAAGCACTTCTTTTTGCCAACATACTTGGACACTGTACTATTTTCATTTGTTAAAAGCAAAATTGAAAGAAATGAAAATGGAGATTTCTGTTGCTGCAGTAAAATATTCTGTACATAGATATGCAAATTTCAGGTTTGAGTCCCTGAATGACTAATAGTCAACCTTTTTTGTTTGTTTGGGAGACAGCCCTTACATTTTTATGGCTAATCCACAGTAAATGTTTGGTGCAATAGCCATCTCGTGATGGAGTACTGTGCTATTATGATAGCTAAATCACTAATACAGTCTAATGCATATACTTGCCTATCATACTAATACCACTGGGCTATACTTCTGACCCAAATTCTTTTAGTAATCCCTAATTTTTTTTACTGAAGTAAATACTACAAACCCTCTTCAAAATATTCCCCCTCCAAAACAAAAAAACGTTGGTGATTTTCTGGACATACATACCATTGCCCCCACACAAGATTATTTTTGCAATTCTAGGACAGTATCTGATAAGCATTATATTGAATTAACTAAAAAACTGAAGGTATACTGGCAAATTTCTGTGTGAGAGAGTCCAAATGAGAAAATACATTTGTGCCTTATGAATAAGGAGAGAACATTACAGTCCCAAACATATTTGATTGCATTATTTAAAAAAAAAAAAAAAGTATGTTCCCAAATAAATAAATTAAAACCTGTATCATTTGGTTGTTCTAATGAACAAGAGGAGAGTTAGTGAAAGTTACAATCTTTTGTGTCATATAGACTTAAATAAAACTGTATTTTCAGAGAAAATCATTAATGGGTTTAGCCATAACGCCACCACAAACAGCATTACTGGCAAAGTACATGGAAGAACACTAAGTCACCGAGAAGTTAGAGCCCAATCTTCTAGCACTCATTACCTTTGGGATAACAAAATTTTAGAAATGGTGATTGCACAGTTGCAAATATAGTCAGTGGAGAGCTGGAAGCATTCATTTCTTCTAAAAAAAGCAAACTTTATCATTTCAAGTTGGGCATCCAAAATATTAATCTCAAACAAGGGTGGGGAAAATACAGCCCTCAGGCTGGATCCAGCCTGACAGACCATTCATTCTGGCCCACGGAGCCCCTAAAAAAGTTAGGAAATTAATATTTATCTGCCCCTGGCTGCCTGGCAAAGATGAAGGCCTAGGGGAAGCCACGGCAGGATCCAGCAGCAGCAGGAGGATCCCCCCCCCCTTAGCCCCGCCTCCCTTCCCCAACCAGAAGTCCCTGCATAACAGAGGCTTTTGGCCTGGGACCATGAGGCTGTTCATGCCTGCCTGTGCCGGAGTGGGAAATTCAGGTAAGAGTGGGTGGTGGGAGGGGGACGGGAAGATGGTGGGCGATTGCCCCAGTCCTTGGGGCTGGGC